GGTGTGGGAAACAAAACGCTTACCGGTAGACGCTCGTTGAGAACTGGGTGAAGACGGCGGCGGCGTCCCCGGAATGACATCATCGCTGTCGTTCCCAGGTGATGATGACAACGTCCACGGCGTAGTTGGTGGCGGTGTTGCTGATATTGTTGGTGGTTGAGTCACTGCCCAAGACGGGACTGGCGACCAAATCCCAGGGATAAACTCAATGGATTCATCGGAATCAATTGGAAATAAATCTGGCGACTAAAAAAAAAAAAAAAATCACCACTAACGAAAAAAAACAGAATTAAGTATAATTTAATGAAGAACTGGTACATGCCAAGTTAAAGTTGGACATTGTCGACAGTGATGTATGTTCAATCGACAAATGATCACGTTAGACATCGAACAAAAATGCTGATGTACTCGATTTATTGAAAATGATAATCGATCACGCCACACGCGGGGTGAATATATAGGGTCAAATTATTATAGATATACATACCAGTAGTGCAGTATATGGTAATTAAAAAAAAAAAGCAGACAGAATTATGGATAGGCATCAAAGTGTTGCAAATAAATAATAGGTCACAAGATCATCCGGATAAAAAATGTGCAATTGCAACAACACCTGTCCGGCGAATGCACTATAAATACCGGCGCTAACGATATATATTGTCTTTCAATAACCGGCAAGTTCATCCTAACACATACACACAGTGACAATGGCTCAGTCTTGTCCTGTATGTAAGTTCACGTTTGCTAGACGAAGCAATATGCTATGACATCAAAGACAGTTCAACCATTACTTAGGTATAAACGAATATGGAAATATGATTAAATAAATTAATATCACCCTGACACGTTATTTACAGTTGGACCGAATCAACACGGATCAATTCAGCAAACCCCCGACGAAGGTAAGGAAAAAAAAGAAATAGATTAGTATTAATTATAGATATATGATTATAAGTTGTATAGATATATATATACATATATATATATTTTTTTTTTACACAATCAAATATAACATTGGGATCTGGGTAAAATTACAGTACACATAGACTTGACCGTGGATGATGATGATGAATCCGTCAATAGTATTAACAGTGAACCGAGTAAGTAAAAAAAAAATCATAAATAAATAGAACAATAATAAGAAAAGTGAAATATCATTACAGCGACCGCGTCTCAACACACTGAACATCGTCAAATCCATGTTGATGTCGAAGGTAATTTAAAAAGAATTATAATATTATAGGATAATTATATTTGTTATTTAATTACAGTATGGATAGACTTGACTACAGAAGAAAATAGTGAAGCAGACAATTTTAGTAACATCAAGGAAACAGGTAAACAAATAAATAATGATTAAAGTTAACTAATCCGAGTAAGTAAAAAAAAAATCATAAATAAATAGAACAATAATAATAAAGTGAAATATCGTTACAGCGACCGCGTCTCAACACACTGAACATCGTCAAATCCATGTTGATGTCGAAGGTAATTAAAAAAAAGAAATATAATATTATAGGATGATTCTATTTGTTATTTAATTACAGTATGGATAGACTTGACTACAGAAGAAAATAGTGAAGCAGACAATTTTAGTAACATCGGGGAAACAGGTAAACAAAAACAAAAATAATGATTTAGGTTAACTAATATACATTCATTCAACTCGGCTAACACGGTCACAATATATGTATCAGAAAGAGTACCGGTGACAATGGATTCGATCAATTACAGCAGTGTCTACGACGACCAAAATATCGATAAAAATAATAATAATAAAAATATACAAAGCAACAACAGGGTTGATCAATTTAGAATATATCGACGTCTGGCCTCCGTCTCCGACACACCACACAGGAACCGCCGCCGACACAGCGATAAGAACTGGTGGTGCCATGTCAATGAACGGTATAATCAATTACACTAATTAAAATAACGCGTGCGGATAAGTACTAATAAATATGATCATATAGGTCAAATGGAAGCTACCGATGTGCCGAGTATAATCACATCAACGTCTGCTACAGACGGCCGCAATAACGATAATATGCAATTACAAATTCCGAACCGCAAGAATTAAACCAACACAATTAATAATAATAATATGATTATACGTATAGTGATATTTAATTATTTATATATTTATATTTATGTACATATATTATTCAACAGTTAGTAGTATAATCTAATTTTATTGGAACATGTACTTATCTTCCCGACACCAGTATATTTTAAATAACAATTTGCACTGAAATTACAATTTTAAATGAATCATGATTGAAGTACTATTATATTCAATTATTAAATGATAAATTAATTACAAATAAGTAGTAAAATGATAATTTAGTTATGAATTAATTAAAAATAAATTTTCATTTAATAATTAATTCAAAAGAAATTAATAAGTCGTTATATGTATGTATAGACATTTATTTAAAATAACAAATTTGCAAGGAAATTCCAATGTTTAAATGAATTATGTTTTAAACATTATTAGAATCAAATATTATTAATTAATTTAAAATGAAATTAACAAATTGGAAAGTAAAATACAATTTTTTACCTGTTATTTAAGTTAATGTAGAATTTAAATTAAATTAACAAGCCGTGGTTCGACAGTGTCGCGATCTTTACCCCGTCCATGGCGGCCGTACGGATGACCAAATCGATGATCAAGTACGACCGGCCGTCATACGCGGGTTTCGCCGTGCTGAAGCTATCGAAATACATCCTGTACGACCTCCATTACGGGTACATGGTACCCAAATATGGCTTTAAAGCGCGTGTCATCTATGGTGATACGGATAGTCTATTTTATTGGGTCGAAACCGACAATTTGTATGCTAACATGAAGGCTGACATCGACAAGTATGCACGGACCGCTTTGCTGACCATTCGCACAAACTAATGTTTTTTTTTTTTTATCCAGGTACGATTAGGACAATTTCTGTATCTGATGTGTCAACTTCAACTTCAGTAGAAATCACCATCAGAATCACAAACTCCGCCATCTCTAACAGATCGAACTCCACGGAAAAATGCACTCAGGAAGAAACTCTTTGCAGAAACAAAAAAGAGGGAAGAACTAGTCAGTAATCAGTTCTAATCCACAGTTAGCCGAAAATTCTTTTATTGTAACAACTCTCAGAGTATGTGAGAAGTACTGTACACCAACACTTTGTATGATGCTGAAGTCTCAACTGCATAACAAATAGCGGAAACCGCAGGTATATAAGTATTCAAATGACATAAAACAACTTGATTTAAATAATTTTTTAGTAAGTCCTAGACTGTATAGAAACACGCAAAAATCTCTATTTCTTCTGACTAGTCAAACTTTGAGAAGAGTCACTGGTAAATATGAAATCAATCCTGGTTTTAATGATTTTCCTTTTAATTTCCTCTCTTATAAAGTTAATGGTATGAAACCTGATGCGCTTAACTGTATTCTTTGTACTGATAAAATGGCGTTGAAAACACATCTATTTTATTGAGTTGACAAAGATAAAATAATTGGTTTTCATGAATCTACTAACAGTAGAAAATATGAACCTGCCAATTATGCTTTGGTCCTTATGCTCTGAGGAATAAATTATAATTGGAAACAACCAATTGCTTATTTTATTGTTGCTAGTAGCTGTTCCGGTATTGATCTAAAAGACATAATTCTGTCAACAATTTGTCGCCTACAAAATATTAAGCTTAATATCAAAACTTTCATTACCGATCAAGGCACATATTTTGTAAACATTTTTAAAAGCCTTAATGTTTCCTCTAGTAAAGTAGATGGATAATCAATCGTCTACATTTTTGATCCTCCTCATCTAATAAATTCAACACGTAACATGTTATTTAAACATAATTTTAAAATTAATGGCAATATTATAACTAAAGACCATCTTGTTTCTTTTTATAATTATGACTCCGAATGTAATCTTCGCTTAGCACCAAAACTAACCTATGCTCATATTTATCCAGGGCCTTTTGAAAAAATGCGAGAATATTTGGCTACTCAAGTATTTAGTGACTCTGTTGCCAAAGGTATGAAATTAGCTCAAGTAGATGGTTTTATACCTCCTTGTGTTTAAACTACCACTGAATTTTTTAGTGATAGGGATAAACTATTTGATATATTCAATTCTTCTAACCTTCCCAAAAGCAAAGATTATAATCGACCTTTTAAAAATACTAAATCACAAATTACCCATTTTAACAAAATGGATAACTTTTTGTCTTTCCTTAAAGCATATCCTACTAGTGACCACTCAACTTTTGGAAATTTAATGATGCCTCATGATGACTTTAACAATTTTATGTATGAGTTCCTTGGCTTTAGTGGTTAGCCCGAAGATATCCCTTTTGAGTGGAACATCTCATCAACTACATATCCGCCATCATAGTGACCATTGGGTTTGAACTTCAGATACAATACCAATCTGCGTAGTCGATAAGTACTTTAATGTTAATGTAAATAAAGTTATTCTTTTTGTTAGGTTATTGCGCCGTGTGGCATTAGTTTTATAAGTATTCCCCCTGCCCCCATTGATTACTAATTTTATGTTCGTTTTAATACATATTTTATTTGTTTAAATTCCGTATTCGATTTCAATTTATTGTAAGTACCATCCTTATCACCTATACAGTCCACTTTATCCGTCTTTATCTTCACAATCTGTTAGTATATTACTTATTGAACCGCGCGAATAATCGGACCCAACCCGTGTAAAAGGTCATCCGGGCGGTCGATTAAGCACTGGGTGCTAAATGCGCCCTTGTCGTTGGGCTCGACGACGCAATGTTTACGAGTTGGAGAATATTTTGATTAATAATTTTCCCTGCATTGCCTGTGGAGACGGGGCTAATTTAAAACTAGATTTTGTTAATGTACCATTTAACCATCCATGTAAAAACTTTGAAAGTCTTTTTTAATTAATTCATTTACACGATTTATAATTTTTACATGTATAAAATGTTTAAATAAAGCTATGATCTCGGGAAAAAAATTTAAAAAATAGAAAATTTTGTACAAGTCATCAATTTTGACCATTTTTGGGTTATACATCAATTTTGTAGGAAATTTCACGCCGGATGTATTGGTCATACTGTAGTGTGACTGTAATAGTTCTGATTACTGGTACCAGAACTATTAAGAAATTTATTTGTTGTTCGTCGTCGAAACCAATTCAGGAAGATGTTTTTTAAATAATTAAAGACTTTTTAAATATAAGTTTGATTTTTATTAACACTTGTAAAACATAAAAAATGGACAATCTGTCACTGAGTAGGTAGTATACTAGTTGAGTCTGGTAATTCGTCTGGTTTAGCAATGGATCCCACTCCTATTTATATGGACATGATAATTTGTGTAATGTGTTATTGTGGGAATTTGTGTAGGCTTTAGCTTATTGATGGGCGGACGCCACAGCGGACGCACATCGGTTGATTATTTTAATTAGTGTTAATTTGCGATAAAATGGTAATAACATATTTTTCCCATATAGTTTAATTAAGCGGATCGGAAACCGAGTAGCTTCTGTATGTGAAACATACATTTACAATTCCATACAATCATTGTGCTAGATAATTCTACTGGTGTGTTTTAATTACTGACCATGATTCATATTTTACATTTATAATAGATGTGCGGTTGTTTTATATTTATCAGAGTGACATCATTATAATATGAGTAATAAATGTGCTTATGTGTAGTTGTGTGTTTGTGTGAAGGGTGTAGAAGGTTATGTATATAACATGACTATTCGTTATCAAGGTATTATTAAATGCGGTTAGGCACAAGTCATATGTCGTGTTAATGCGGTATCACAGCTACGTCGTTTGTCGTGTCGAGCGATTTAAGAAGTGGGCGTGGCCACTTAAGGTTACTAATGGTAACTGTACAATACCAATTTGGTAATTATCTATCGTGGTTACCTAATCAGTGAATGCCATAGAGTGCTCGCGAAATAAATTGAAATTTGATCAAATAATTACTTTTAAATATACCGTATACGGCCCATCAATGACAAACCGGAATTTAATGCAGATAGTAATAGTAATAAGTATGTTCAAATTGATAATTGATAAAAAATCAATTGACCGCGGTTACCATAATTTAACAACCTATACCACACGATACAAAAATTGAGCTCAGCTCAACTTTTGTACTATCACTAACTGCATTAAATGCCGGTTTGTCATTGATGGGCCGTATACGGTATATTTAAAAGTAATTATTTTATCAAATTTCATATTATTTCGCGAGTACCGTATGTCATTCACTGATTAGGTAACCACGATAGATAATTACCAAATTGGTATTGAACAGTTCCCATTAGTAAAATTAAGTGGCCACGCCCACTTCTTAATTCGCACGACTCGACAGACAACGTAGCTGTGATACCGCCTTATGAGAAAGGAAATAAGTCATAATATGATAACATTCTATGATAGAATTTATAAACAAACTATTTAATCGGCGTTTTATTTGAACAGCTTTTATTAAACTTTTTCTTTTTTAATTACTATTAGGCCTACCTGTTAAATTAGTTACATATTTCATAATGTCAAAATGAACACAGTTGCTGTTATCTCTTTCCAAAGGTATGTTTTTTTTCAATACTTATAATTTGACATTTTAATAAGGTGTTGGCGCTTAAACATATATGCTAATATTATTTTTATTTTAGACAAAAATGTTCCAGCAAAATAAAAACAATTGTTTGAAAATAACAATAATTGTAAGACATCTTTAGCTGATAAGCCACAGCATCATATACAGGTAAAAAAACAATTGTAAGATTTTCTTTTACTTACCTTATATAGTAAATAATTTCATTTAAAATACCTGTAATATAATTTTATATTTTATTATGTATTTTTAACTACTAAAACATGAACACATTATAAAATTAATTAATAATAATATTGATTTGAGTGTTATGTGTCAAACTGTCAAAGATTTCATAATATTTATTTAAAATTAATTTTTTAAATTATAATACATATTTTAGGAATGGGTAAATCTTAGTAATCCGTCCTATTTAAATGAAATTAATAATTATGAAGCTGATCTATATAATAATGTAGGTAAGTAAGTTACATGTTTTATCATACAAATAATGTAGATTATTAAAATCAACTACAAATAATTATATACTATATTTTAGTGTTAAAATATACTGTTGTAATTTTACTTATTAGGATACTGATAACTCGAATGGTTTTGTAAATATAAACGGCGAAGATTATAGAATAGTATTTAAAAATCAATCCACAGACATTCTAACTGAGGTAGCAAAATAGTTATATTATAAATTACACATATTTTATATTTAATAATTATGCCTCATAGTTTAAAAAATAGAAAATAAAATGTATTTCAATCAATGTTTAATGTATGTGTTACATGTAGGTAATTCTTGATAAAAGAATTGATTTTTTTTTTTTAAATGGAGTATTGTAAATAATTTTTAATTAATTTAAATTTATTATTAGGGAAAATTATATTTTCCCTAATAATAAACATGCCAAACCTATTCATTATTTTGTAGACTTTATGTATTATTTTTTGTATTGAGCACTTATTTTAAAATGGTTTTATACCTATTATACCTACATACCTATATTACCTATTATTCAGTTTGGATCTATAGATCTTACAAAAAAATGTTTGGAACAATTTTATAATAATTAATATTATATTTTTTATAAACCTATTGTACCCATTACCTAGTACCTATAGGAATATTTTTTAAAATGTCTTCTAGAATTAAATATAAAATGCAATACTTAAATGAAAAATGATTTAACTTTAATTATCTCTATTCTAAGTTTAAATAATTTTATGTATTTTAAATGTGTATCAAAATCCAAATTATTATTTTTTTAATGGTTTAATGATTTGAATAATTGTATTCAACTAATTTATTCATAATCTGATGATAATTTATATTCATACATTATAACATCCCTACCCAGTTATTTATTTTATCAAATTTAATGTAAAATTCTTTAGATTTTAACTTATAAATACATAATATAAATTGCATAATAATAATTTTAAAATGCCTTTTATGAATCATTTATTTGATTTCATAGGTATTAAAATTTGATAGTATCATTTTTTTTGTTTAAGGTTGAAGACAACATTAATAGTAACTGTAATGGGATGGAATTTATGTCACAATTAATATCCCATGAATATCAGAGAAGTCCTGAGAAATCAGATACAATAAGTGTAATTCCAGGGACTCCAGAACACATTGTATTGGGCGATGAGGAAGGTTTGACTAATAAAGTGATTGATGATATTCCAAATACAAGAAAAATTAAAATTAGTGTAAAAGGTGACACGGAAGAATATCGTCAATACAAAAAAAAATAAAAGAAACTCTGGTCAAACATATACTACTAATAAAGGTAAAATAGTCAAAGCTCGATCTTCTAAGCCATTGCTTAACTGTCGAGCCAAATACAACACTAAAATAAGTGATACTTTACGTGAACAGTTATTGACATTTTATTGGCCAATGAACAGTTATAATAGAAGAGTTACATATATTTCTAGTTGTATACATTTTACTGATACAAAAACTTCAAGAAAACGTCGAAGTACTCCTGATAAACAATAAACTAGAAATAAAACTTATCATTATTGTTGAAATGATCAATAAATAATTTATATTATATTCATCATAGAATGTAAGTTATCATTAATATTGTTTAGAGAAACTTGTTTTCTTAATAAGCAAAATATTATGGCGTGATTTCATATTAACCAATCAAAGGTGTTTAAAGTAATTTGACGTCAATAGTATTATTGCTTTGTATACAGTTTTTTGTTCTAGAATATTTTTTTGGTCTTATATAAAAGAGAGATCTTAATAAGGAAAATATTATGGCGTGATTTCATATTAACCAATCAAAAGTATTTAAAGTAATTTGACGTCAATAGTATTACTGCTTTGTATACAGTTTTTTGTTTTAGAATATTTTTTTGGTCTTATATAAAAGGGAGATCGGAGGATATCTTATTCTCTCATTTTTTCACATAGTATAACAAGTCTTTATTATTACTTTATATTGTATTTAGTATTAGTGAAATATTACTGTTTTATTATTAATATACAAATTGTGTTTAATTCTTATTTTGTCTTGATCCACGTACATACACATCTCGATATCCAACAATTATTTTATTCCAAAAGATGGAAATTCAATATCTGTTATAATGTTTATAAAACTACATTTACAATGTTGTTTTATAAACATTTTCGGAGAAACGAATAAGTTTGTTAATAATGTTTGTAAACAAAAATTAGGTTCTCCTATCAATAAAACTTTACCGGATAAAAGGGCTAAGCAAGTCCATCCAATAAAATTTTATCTGAAGATGTAAAGATGGTAGAACAACAATTAAAAAACCTCCCAACTTATGAAAGCCATTATTGAAGGAAAGAGAATTCCTAGATACATACTAATAATAAAAATAAAGAATGTAAAAGTGATTGTAATTTAATAATTAATGGAGATGGAGTGAACATAGTAAAAACATAACAAAATAACATAAATAAAATATTTATTTAAATGTATTATCGAATAACACTTTTCTCGGCAAAACTGTAGAAAAATCAATTTCTGTGGCTATTTCGTTGTCTATAGATAAAATCGATAAAGAGACCAAACGTTCATTAGCCATAGTTGATCGCAAATATGTTTTTATAAGATTTAATTTTGAGAAACTCCGCTCGCTAGCTACTGTCACTGGTAACGTCAATTATAATCTCAAAGCAATTTAAAGATTTGGAAATGTGTCTTGGAGTTCAAAGTCAAAAATGTATTGAAGAATATTTAGAGGTGAAATTATGTCCAAACTTGAAATTAACAATTTTTTAATGTTCTGAATGTCTGTGCATAATTCGACACCATCAATATCAGAGTCAGATCCATCTTTAAGGTGATTGTGTAGATCTATACAATGTTTCAATAATTCATTTTCATTTCCAGGTGCCTTTTTTCAATCGTATAAAAAATTCCATACATTAACATGGTTCTTTAAAAGTTTAATTAATGTGTAAAAAAATTCGTGTTCAAATTTTTCGACTGCAATTCTATGATCAGCGTCATCTGAACTCGCATAATCAAAGTTTTTTTTTATACGCCTCCGAACTACTCTTATTTCAGAATCTATCCCTAATTCTCCTGCTATTGCTTTTGCTTTTATCAAAATCTGATCAAATTATCTTTATAGTTCTAAAAAAACTCTAAAACACTTTTTAACATATTAGAACCATTTATCAAGTTCATTGTCGTCTTTGCTTGCATACTTTTACTGACTAGATTTACTTGAAAAAGAATATCGTACCAAACAACTAATGAAACTAAGAACTTAAAATCTGTAAGTTGACCAGCAAGCAAAACAGCTTCAAGGCGCGTTCCAGCATCTATATTTTCGACTTTAGATAGTTGAATTAGCGCGTTGTAAATTTGCACAGTTTGAAAGCGAACAACTTTTACACGGTTGATTCTACTTTCCCATCTTGTATCACTCAGAGGTTTCACAGTCAACCATGTTATATTGTCGGTTAAAATTGTCCATTGATTAACCGACGATGAAAATAAAACATAAATTCTTTGGAGTACGCCGAAAACTGTAATTGAATTTATAGAACTATATGCAGCATCTGATACAACTAAATTTAAAGAATGACAATTGCATGGAACGAAGGTGGCACAAGGATTCATTGATATAACTCTCGCTAGAACTCCTTTTTTTTGCCCTTTCATATTAGCACCGTTATCGTATCCCTGCCCACGACAATCTTGAAAAGGAATATCCTTCTCTGCAAGGGTTTTTAGAAAGTCTGTTAAACTCAAACCTGTAGAGCTTTTTACCGTTTAAAACCCAATGAAAAGTTTTTAGAAGTTCTGTTAAACTCAAACCTATAGAGCTTTTTACCGTTTAAAACCCAATGAAATGTTCTTCAACTTTAATTTTACTTTTTATATTAACAAATCGTAGTGCAAATGATAGTTGTCCTTGATGACTAAAATCTGGTGTACAGTCGAGGATTACAGAATAATATTTTGCTGCACGTAATCTATCTATTATTGTTTCTAGAACTTTATTGCCCATGAGATTAATTAATTCATTTTAAATAGAATGACTACAATAAAGTACGGTTTTTTCACGAGAAAGTGTTTTATGAAATAATTCTTTCGTTACGTCGTCATATTTACCCAAAAGCTCAACTAAACTTAAAAAATTCCATTATTTTGCGTATAAAATTTATCTGAACTTCCTCGAAACGCAAGATTATTCTTAGATAAAACCAAAGTTACTGATAACAAACGGTCTAAAACATTTACCCAATAATCAATTTCCATATTCATAATTCGCTGGTGCTCTGCATTTATTGTTTTATTTAGTTTTAACCGTTTTTCTTTTAATTCTATTCATGTACCATAAGCCTTAAAATGATTAGGAGCTTTTTCGTGCATAGTAAGTGCAGTAGATATGTTATGTCAATCAGAAAACCCATCAATTGCCAAATTTTATTTTGGAGTTCTATCAAATAATTTACAACAGAAACAAAATATTTTTCCTGACGATTTTGAGTAAATTAACCAACGCCTAACTAATTTTTCTCTATTAGAAAGATGTCGATAAAAATAAATCTTAGAAAAATGTTTTTTTTCATGATCTTTTTGAATACCCGTTGAGATTCAATCAGTTTTAATTTTTTTTAAACCAATTGTTACTTTACTTTAATCAAATGTATTTAATAAAAATTATGGACTATCTAATATATGTGTAAAAATATTTGATTTTATTAGTTATTGTAAACGGCTATACTGTGATTAATAGGTATTCGATTAGCCGATAAGTGATAACATAATATAATATTATGTTATATGGTTCTGTGGTTTCTTTATGGTATTAATACTATGGTTTTATGAATATTAATTATTAAGAAATTGTTATCACATCATTTATCAACATTAGTACCTAATTGCCAACTGGTATCACTTTTCAAAACGACTAAAAAATATTAAAAATGTAATGTTTTCTTTTTAGTATTAACTATTTAGTTATTTATATAATTTGTTTAAAAGAAGTTACGGCCAACAGGTAAATTAAAACGTATTTATGTAAAATTATCTTTAATGAATTTTAATTTTTTAATTTCTATATATTATTTTGTTTAGACATTATGAGTTTTTTGAAGTATAACTTTACCAAAAATCCAAAGAATGATTAACCTACACAAAAAGTTTTTACTAGTACAATTAAATCAAATATTGACTTATCATAGTCATCCACAGTTCCTGTTACTAAACCTACTGATTATATAGATAATAATTCTTTTTCTGATTGCTTGGACTCCAAAATATAGTTTTTTTCTGACGAACCAATACAACTACAAGCTATTTTTACTGAGCTGTACGACAGCCTCTTTCTGGCAAACAATAATTAAAACTCAGACTTTCTAAAATCTTATATTAATTTTTATTTATCATAACCACCTGGAACGGGGCAATTAACAAAAAAAAAATATTAGACCATTTAGATAAACAGAACTTAGTTCTAAACGTTCGAGCATATGATATCTTTAAAGATAGTATGTTTTATTTAATAATAAGTGAGTTAAAGTATAAACAGGAGTTATGCAGATTTGCCATAGGTAGATTTCAAAAAGACGGTAGGACCCTAAGTTTATTAGAAACGCAGAATAAAATGTGTGATAATACTCACCGATTCACGCAGGCCAACGATCCGTCGACAAATGTGCTGCTTACAGAACTGTACGACAGTCTCTTTTTAGCAGATAATAACTTAAATTCAGACTTTCTAAAATCATACATTAATTTTAATTTGGGTACCTCTATCATAACTACTTGGAACGAGTCAATAAAAAAAAAAATATTAGACCATTTGGACATCCAAAACATAGTCCTAAACGTTAGAGCGTACGATGTCTTTAATGATGGGATGTTTTATTTGATCATTAACGAATTAAGAAGCAAAAGAGAATTATGCCGATTTTGCATAGGTAGACATCAAAGGGACGGTTGGGTCTTAAGTCTACTAGAAACACACAATATAATTTGTAAAAACACTCACCGATTCATGCAGGCAAACGATCCGCGACAACAAACGTGCTTATTTTAAAATGCATTTTCGATGATGTAATCCGAAGATGGTCGTACGACGGTTTCACAAAAATACTAGGGAAAATGTATAATATTTTCTACCGTAGATATGGACTTAATCGCGCTGTGAACGTTGTCCGCATAACACGTGTTAACTTAACTCCGCATTAATGAAATTAATCATCATCCAACGATTCCTCACTTTTCTCCCAATTGCCTTCCTTTCTTGAGAACTTCCAATCTCCGTTCACACCATTAATTAATCTTCTTACAACTGTCATAAACAAAATTATAGCTAAAAATGACGCATAATATTAGTGTAAATACCCCGCTAACCATCCTCTTTTGGAATGCCAATGAACTTAAACAGCACAAAAATGAGTTTCAATTCATATTAAAAGATAAAAATATTAACATAGCCTTGTTTCTGAAACTCATTTTACCCCCAACTCATGTACAAATTTTTTTGGATACAAGGCTTATTTCTCTTGTCATCCAGATGGTACAGCCCACGCTGGCTCAACAATATAAATTAAATCTAATTTGGATCACTCTCCATTACCTCCATATCAGTTTGCTTTAATTTTTTTGTTTTTAAGTCGTAGGTAATCCGAACAAATCGGTAATCCGAACGACCCGTTTCCTTAAACCCGTTCGGATTAACGAGACCATACTTCAGGTACTATATTATTATATAATTATTAACTTAGTACCTATTTATTAGTAACTATGATATTTATTCAGTTTCCTATTTCAAAAAAAAAAAAATATTTTAACAGGAGGTACCTATATATGTTGTTTTAAATAAGTATGAACTATGAACAACACAAAGAAATATAACAGTTATTTTTTCCCCACACAAAAAATTAATTTTTTTTTTAGTTTAATTAGGTATAACTCATATGAACTTACCTATAGTTTAAGATATTGAATTTTATGTGTTACAGATTATTTTCTGAAGCTGGTACCATTTATGAAGACAAGAGAAACAGATTGTTACACAGAAATGCAGAAAAATTGCTTTTTTTACGTAATAATCTTTCAAACACCTCAAACGTAAAATTTTTATTTTGATATATGTATAGTTATCATTGTATTGTATAATTCAGTTATAGATTTCTTTTGTACCTATTAAAATTTAAAAGTTCATAAATTATGAAGTTATCATAAAGTTCATAAAAAGTTAAATTGATTATGAAAAGTTCTCATATAATAATCAATAATTCAGTTAGTAATATGAAAGGATCTCATATTATCTAGTCATTGTGTTGTATAATTTAGCTATAGGTTTATCTTGTACTGTAATGGTCAGATCTCCTTGAGATATAGTATTGGCCATGGCACGTGGATTACAAATATTGCTTACTGTTGTTTTGGGTAACTTTTAATTAATGTGTAATACTTAGTAAGCATTTAAGCACTATATTATTGTACTCAATTCTGTTTAAATGACGTTGTTAATACTTGTTTTCCAAAAGTATTAAGAATACTTAGCTTGCATTCTTTGTACTATACCCCAAAGGAACAGCGAGTATCCATTCAAATGTTTTGTCTTGCTTCACCTGAGCAAGTTGCTGTTTGTGTAAAAGTTATATATTAAATACATTGAATCAATCCTACCTTGGCAGTTCTTATTGTTTTACTACAGTTCTAACACTGTCCAAGATAGTATTTGTCTTGGACTCTACAGTTCATTACAGTACCTATTACAAGTTTGTAAATGGCTTAAGATTATAATTTATAACCAATACAAAATACAAAGTGTTGTTACTTGTTAAATTTTTTTTAGATTTATAAATAGTTTATAAATGGTTTCAAATTATTAGAATAGTCAATAGATACATTTTATAAAATGTTATTAAGTTAAATCGATTAAGAAAAGCTCTCATATAATTAATTAGTAATATAAAAAGATCTCATACTATCTTGTCATTTGTATAGTATAACTTAAAATAATTTTTATTTTATAGATAGTAATAGTTTATAAACAGTTAAAGTTTTTAATAAATATGAAATAAAATTATTTTTGAAAAGTACATATTGTTGTACGTCTTTAATCTTTATAGCTTATACCTAATTTAATCTATTTATTATTTGGTTTACTTAGTATGAAAATCGTATTATTAACTATTAAGTATATTTTAATATTTGTTATCATTCATAATCAATATTTATTTATTTTTTAGGTACGGAAAATGTGTTGCTAAAACTTTGAGCCGACAGATTTAATGTTTCAAAAATTTACTTCATCAACAATGCAATCAGATGGCAACAATGATCAGGAACGTTCACTAGAAAGAAGTACTCAATTGCTGCCCATACCAAAATTTCTGGTGCCCCTTATTTTATAAACGTTATTTTTATACAAAAATTAGTGATGGGAATAATCGAGTAATCGAATAATTTCGAATTTAAGTAAAATAATCGATTTTTCTCTCGATCTTAAAATGTTTCGAATTGTTGATTGTCAATTGATATTATTTTATTATTTTTATATTACTAAAACTTTTCCCATGACCGAATCCCGCTAATTTCCACTTTTACTAAAACGACTATGTTATCGCTGTCAAATAAATATGGCCGACGTCGACGTATAATGTTATTACTTATTACTGTAGATACTTAAAACGACCGATGGCGACGTATAAGAAACGCGAGGAAACTCCTTCGTCTGCCACGACGTTGGAGGTCGGGTTCCTGCGCTTTTTCGATCACTACAGCGGCCTCGCCCTCTTATCTCTATTCAGTTTGTAATCATTGCGTTTCCGATTTTTTTTAAACCGACTAATCTATACATTCAATTTGAATTTAAATCATTTTTTTACTCTAATCGGCTCCGCCGGACACTCGGTTTAGTAGCAGATCCGTTTATTTTCCAACAAATATACCTGCTCCACCCGCCGTGAGCGTGTCCGGCGTAGCCTTATATACTGTATACAGATACAGTACTCAGGATCTGTGACCTATCCGGTCACCTGCTAGCTACTGGTATTATTACTAATTTCGTAATTGAAGGGGTCAATGGATAATGACATTTTTGAAATTGTCCAAGAACGCTACTTATGTAACTAAATATTACATAAAAGCTAGGGGATTTCTTTATATTCAATATATGAAATAACTTATAAGAGGAAAATTATCGGTCTAGGGATGCTCTAACACTATTGGGTTGGATGTACTATAACATAGAGATGGGCAAAAAACATCGATGTTTTAACATCGAAGTTTAGTCATCGATACATCGAAGAAAATATCGATGTTTTGAAATTTTTGTGAACGTAGTCGCACCAAATTTTAAAATTCCAAGTGGGAGGGAAATTTCTCGTAGAATATTTTTATTGTATGATTCAATGAAAAATATGTTTATTGACAAATTAGAAAATGTTCAACACTTTGCGTTGACTACCGATATTTGGACAGATATGCAAACAAGAAGTCATATTGGCATTACAATACATTTTATGGACAACTATGTAATAAATTCGGGTCTGTTAAGTGTTTATGAACTGGACGATAGACATAAATCCGAATATATTGCTTCCAAGTTAGTAGAAGTGTGTGATAAATGGAATATATCGACTACAAGTATAGTTGCTGTTACCACAGATGGAGCTGCGAATATGATAAAAGCTATTGATTTGGCATTTGACAAAAAACGTCAGATTATATGTTTTGCTCATGCATTAAATCTTGTAGCTCAGCAAGCCATATCAAATTTTCCTGAACTTGTCACTTTAATTTCAAAAGTTAAGAATATTGTTCGATGGTTCAAGCAAAGCGTTGTTGCTAGTGATGACCTTAGAAAAGCGACTAAGGGTGATGGAAAACTGATTCAAGAAGTTCCTACACGTTGGAACAGCACATTTTATATGTTGGAGAGGTTTATTTGTTTAAAACAAATCGTAAATGACATTGTTCATAGGCATATTTCTGCCCTAGATATGGTATCGGCAAAAGAAGTACAAGATATCTCAGATGTAATAGATATATTAAGACCAGTAGAAGCTGCTACCAAGGAACTTTGTGCCCAAAAATACATAACTACAAGTATGGTAATTCCTATGGTGTCTATACTGCAGAAAAATATTAAAGATTTCCAACCAAAACAAGAAATAGGACTTCAGCTAAAATCTGCCATTAATGTACAATGTGATAAACGTTTCTGTTCAGTAGAAAGTTGTTTCCTTTTGGGTATGGCTACTATTTTGGACCCACGTTTTAAAAAAGTTTATTTTCAAGACCATTATCCAAGATGCTGAAGTATATATCTAATGAGATCAAACAAACACAGACCCTGAGCTCCGGTGATAGTTCATCTGATACAGACATCACAAGTATGAATATACAATTTATCATATTCAAAATAAATCTGTGTCTTACATGTATCTAAATATTTTATTTTTTTATTTTTCAGCAGTAGATGAACCTCAAGCATTCAATTTGTGGCAAGATCATGCTAAATATGTTCAACAGTCTACCAGCCGCAAATCCCATAGAGGACAGTTACAGGATAGTGAATTTCCCTCCGAACTAAATTTATATCTGAAAAGTAGTCATGCTCGACTATCAGATGATCCGTTACTAATATGGAAGGATATGTGCAAAGTATATCCTATATTATCAAAAGTGGCTGTTAAATATCTAATACCTGTTGCGACGTCTGTCCCAAGCGAAAGATTATTTTCTAAAGCAAGATTGACATTAAATAAACAAAGGAATCGTCTTACTTCGAAACATTTAAGTCAATTACTATTCTTACAATCGTTAGACGATGCTTTTTGGTGAGGTTAATTTCAGTTTTAAGAAATATAGTTATAATGTAATATAGTGTGGTAAAACTATAATATAATATAGTATAATAATTTAGTTATAGTGACATATAGTTAAAATAAAATGTCTATTGTACAAAAAAAACTTTTATTTTGTTCCTAAAATATAAACTAAATGACCCACATAATAAACCAGCCCATTAGGTAATTAAGTAATATTATACCTAATTATTAATTAGGTAACTGTAATTAAAGGACCATAAATTGGTGTGCAAGGCACTGAATGACTGAAATACTGAATAAATAAATAAAAGGATAGAAAATTGACCCTTAAAGACTTTTTTTTGTTTATTTAAATTTTTCCATGTTCTGAAAAAATTGTATGTTAAACATCGAAAAAACATCGATGTTTTTCTCGAAAATTCGATGTATCGACAACATCGATGTTTTAAGTTTCAATGTATCGATATATCGTAACATCGATGTTTGAAAATGTTTGCCCATCTTTACTATAACACTATAACACTTTTGTCCATGTAATAAAAATAAAAATGCATTTTCGAAAAAACATCAGTTAACACCTTTATCCCCCTTCAATTGAATTGGTATAATTTCACGGTCAGTGTATTACCAGCAGACCGGATTGAAGTAGAGAGTATAGAACTTACTCGAGCACAGTACGGAGTTGCATCCTTGACTTACGTGCAGGTTTAACCAATACGTAATGGTACGAGAAGAGGACGAAGAATAAACAGTATAACTGAATGTATTATGTACTACGAGAATAATTTATTATATTCAACGATTTTAAACAAAATGATGCCGCAATGGCAAGATACAGAGAACAAAAAAAATTTTAAAAATACGACTAAAAAGAAAATTATAATAATTTTTTTTAAGCATGTGAGTAGTACATGGCTATACATTACAATTGTATGTTGTATTAATGCAGACAATGCGGTGTATATTTATAAATAAGACAACATACAGGGTGTTCCAACTGATACTCATTTTTTGGATAATATTAATAATTAGAAATTTTTTTTTCATTTTCTGTATGGTTCAAATTTTACTTTACTTTTCAATACTGTGAAAATTGTTAACTTCATTCCACGTATAATGATTAGTGACCTCATTTTTCTTAATGATACCAACTATTTTTAACTCAATTATGTGCAGTATAAAATTAAATTTTACTATTGTCGAATGAATTTTTAATTTCTATCAATCGGTTCGTTACTTATTAGATATTACGATTTACATACTTGAAATTTTGTTCAATATTCATTCGGGTTTTCAACGCAGGTAGCATGTTACTACCCACTGTGCAAAGTAAGTTACAAAACGTTTCTGCCATGTTTCATTTTGATCGCAAAAAAATGTTACCAAGTAACATCTATACAACATCACCGACCAGTTTCATAAAAATAATATATTATACATTAATAAGTAATATTGCATCAACGTAAAATGTTTAATGTTTTTGCAATGTTACAAAATAACATTTATGTAACGTTAAATTATTATTCCATTGGGATAATCTTGTTTACGCGTGTTTAAAAATATACCTACATCATATACGATGTATACACGCTTCACGCTCATACGGACAAAGAACCTCCGAGACGGACAAGAGACTGTTGCCGTGTACCTAATATACACACATTTGGGCAGACCATAGACAGAGACGAAGGGAAAATGACTCCTTGCGAGGGAAATTATTGAACTTTGTGTCTGATCGAATCTGCCAATGACATAAAGGCCAGACACGGCTTTTGTTCTTGTACAGCGTGTACGAGAACTAGGTACATGGTATATGGAGCAGTAACCAATCCGTCTGACAAAGCGCGTCTTTGTAGCAGCCGCAGGAGGCATCAGTCAAGAATCATATATTTATAACTTTGCTGGTTTACCTGTTCGCCATTCGGTTATGTGCAACTGTACAAAAGAATAATATTATATTGTTATTTTTACCTTTATTCTGTGTTCACTACACACTTACAATAATGACATCTAATTGTAGTGCACTCCAGCCTCATGCAGCTATTAAACAGGTAATTATATTTTAATTTTTAAAAATTAGTTTGAAAAAAATTAGAATTATTTATGCAATAAAATAGATTTGTAAGTAAGTATGTACATTGTTACCTACTAATTTACATGTAAATAGGCAAGACTCAAGTATAGTAAATTAATTAATTATATTATAATATGAATAGGTAATAATTATTACAATAACACAATAATTATTAACCTATCTATTTTTATAGCATATTATAATGATTTATACTTATTAGAATACAATCAAAATTTAACTAATATTTATAATTCAAGAGTACATGGTTATAAACATAATAAATCCACTTATTTACAAAAAGAGATAAACACATTTTAACTTTCGGAGCTAGATTAATCGTTCATATGTATAACATGAAAACTGATAGTTTACTGGAGAAGAACATACATTAATTTTTTCTAATAATTTTAAAATGTAAAAGTTTATCATAATAGTTATTTACTAACATTTTTAGAATACAAAGTAAAATAGTACAGGTAATGTGGGTTAAATATGTTCAATTACAATTAAATACTCAAATATACAATAAACAAATTATCAATAATACAATAATTAATTAATCTTAACATTTTTTTAAACATTTAACTTTAGACTACTTTTAAATTCATATAAACGATTTACAAAAGGCTCTATAATACATTTATTTTCTAATTTTAACATACGATTGGTGAGTTAGACATTAAAAAAGTGGTAGTAGTGTTGGGGTAGAACAAATCGGTAATATGTTTTTTTCCAGTTTTTTTAAAATTAATAAATATCAATTTAGTTTACTATTAACCTTTGGACTATGTAGTACAAACAAAATATGGTATAAATCTTTAACAGTTTTTGATTATAATTTTAAAATATTTTAGAAATATGAAAAGTCCTACATAGTACAATATTAAAATATGCCTCAATATATGTATTTTAATATTTAGTAAGATTGAATTATTTGCGAAAATTCTTATTACAACATTTGAGTACCATTTTTTTTAAGTACCAACGCAATTAAAAAAAAAAAAAAAACCCACCTATTTAATATCATACTTAATATTTTGTGCTTCTTTCATGAGTTACTTTTGAGTTCTTTACAATCATTTATTAGGCATACTTTCATTGTTATAGAGACCAAACAGAAAACGCTGGGTAATTGTTACCTTCCCCGAAGGTAACGATTATTCTGTAATACCTACAAATTGGGTGCTAAAAAGCGTCGATGGCCTCGGCAATCAAGTTATAAAATGTTTATGGCCACCTTTTTTAAATGTTACAAGCGACATAATTCAGAATGCGATGGAGCCATCTGATAATTGGAGTACGCATACAATTAAATTACAAGAAAATGGCAAAGAATATAGTATGTACCTACCTATAATATAGCCGTACCTTCAGTAATGAAAAATAACTTACTAATAGGATTAACCGATGTACTTAATTTTATTATTTTTACATTAACAAAAATTATTCTTTTAGGTTGTTTTAACAAAGCGTGGCACAAACAAGTGGAAATGTCGGAAGAATCTTCTTCAACTGAACAGAGTAAGAGGAGAAAAATTAATGAAGAAGCTTCGGATTCTGATAGTGGAGAAGGTAATAAATAAACTTATCTTGGAATAATTGAACACATGGGAAGAAAGTAGTAGTCCATTTATGACAATTTTTCAGGAGAGCAAAAACAAAGTTAGTTTGCGCGTACAAATCCATGTATCATCAGTTGGTCCCACTGTAACCTCTTTTTCATCAAATAGTTTTCAACATTTAATAGTAGCCCCAATACTACCATTGTAATGGCCATAATCTTAAAACAAAAAAAAAATAATACTGCCCTTCTTCCCTTGTGTCCTTTAATTATTGGTACCTATATTAGATATCATATATATATATATATATATAGGTGTATATTATACCAATTACATGTAACATAAATACTATTCACATTATTTTATTTAATGAAAAGCTAGTATTACTATACTTATATATCTGCTTATACAGAGTGATCCTTTTATCTTGAATATTTATATATATATATAAGTTTTATAAAATTATAAATACTATTTTTATTGTAGAAATCGACATTTTGCCAGTAAAAACATGGGATCGTCCACAAGAAACATTTATAAAAGAAGCTACTAATAAACCTCATTATGCAGAGCTGAACAATTTTAACATTAGTCAGTCTTCAACTACGCAAAATGTATTGTTAAACACCTCGATAAGCCATAGCTTTAACAAACCTGAGGTAAATAAAATTTTTGCCTACTAAAATAATAGAGCTGATAAAAGTTTAATATTCTGCATATAAAAAAAAAATGATATTTAAATAATTTTAAATTGAGATTTTATAGTTATTGTTTTGTGGGTTTTTAATTGTTTGGATTAATCTTAGTTGAATACTATATTTTTCAATGTAATTAAATGTTTGATAAGTTGATAGACTTAACAAATAGATAGTCTTAAATAATAGTCATTTTATTTTATCTATGGATTTTAGTAGTTTCCTATCAAAATTGTTTAGAAGTTGTATGTTTGTTGTACATTTTTAGGGGAGAATATTGTCATCTGTTATTCAATCTGATTCATCATTTCAAGATGAATTGATTTCTGTGCCTAATTATTTAAATCCAACAAATAATGTAGAAACGATTCAATCAGGTATAATATATTACCACACATAAATTATATACTCTAAACTATGTAAGTAGGTATATTGAAAACATCCATATGACTTCTATTATATTGACAATTATAGAACTTATTCAAACAAATGAACAGAATAAAATGATGGGACTTTTGAATTTAATTTATAAAGAACAAATACAAAATCGGGTTCTATACAACCAGTTGTTATCTAAAGTTAATAACATTGAAACTATTATAAACAAAATTGGACTAAGTAATAATATTTCAACTGCAACACATAACTTTGATGAGAATTTTTTGTTAAACTGGCCTATCATTAACGAACAAACGTTTAAACACGTTGAAAACAGTTTATTAGATAATTTATTTGTTCAACAAGTGGTACGTACATTGTAATATTACCTATAAAACAAATTTAATTTCTTTAAAACCGAAATATTATTTATACAATATTTTCAAATTTTAGGAAGAGTTTTTTAATTCCATTGGTGGCAATTCGGTTAAAGACAATCTGAAAAGAATATTAATTAAAACGTTTAGTAATGAATTTGCAATACGGTGCTCATGGACGGGTAGAGGGAAAGACATTACAACAAAATTATGTGATGCAAAATTAGTAACCGTATTAAAAAGTAAATTTAAATTTAAATTGTCTTTTTTCACATTCATGAATCCTAATGTTTGCTAACTTATAATTTAAATAGGGTGTATAAGAAGAAATCAGCAAGAATACAGTGACGCATTATTTGAATCAGTCTTTGCTGACTGGTTCAGATACGCTACTACAAGACATAGAAGATCATTAGAAACTAATCATTAGATAAATAATAATACATTTTATTTTTTAAAAGGATAAAAGTAGTTTTTTTTTTTAATATATATATATTATATAATATAAAATTGTAAGAAGAGTTTACGTAATATAAAATAAATGATTTAAAATCTCTAAAGCGTAATATTTTACATAGAAATAATTATGTTGATTTATGGTATAATTATTTTGTGTTAAGGATTTAAAATTAAATAAAAAATGTTTTGTGACTTTCAACCAGTGGCGTATATAGGGGAGGGTTTTAGGGGTTCGACCCCCCCCCCCCCCGAAATTTGTGGTCGGTACGGCACATGTGCGAATTAATTTAATTTATAATATTAATTAAATCTATTCTTATTTTATAAACCCCCCGAAATTATATCCTATATACGCCACTGCTTTCAACTATGCTTAAAATCTGCTCTGTGGTATGGCTCCATAAGTTAAAAATTCCCATCACAATTAGTTAGATTATTGTTTCAGTGCCAACCCGTTACAAAGTTGCTATTTTACTTAATATTTATTATTTTAAGAAAAAGAAAAGAAAAGAGCTTTATCAAATAACAGACCGTCATTTGAGGAGATTGATTCAAGAAGAGCAAGAAAAGTGTATAGTCAATTTGGAAACTTCTTTGAAACAACCTTCAACTTCTGATCAACTAGTGAGTATAACTTCAGAAACTTCAAATTCTTCTCTACAAAATAAAAATACAAGTAAAACCTTAATTTGTAATGATGGTCCTAGTTTTTCCACGTATAGTGATACTATAAATATTTTTGATGAACCTTTGTGTGTAACTGATAATTTACTCCCTGAGATTATAAATAATTTTGATAGTATTATAAATTCAAATCACCCATGTTCGACTAAAAGTTCTGAAATAATATCTAATGTAGAAACTGAAATGCACAAAAGTAATTTATGTGATAAAATTCGATCTTGGGCAATTCAATTTAAAGTTTCTCATAATTGTTGTAATTCGATGCTTAAAATTTTAAATAGTGAAGGCTTAAGTGTACCAAAAGATATCAGAACACTTATGAGTGCTCCAAAAATTGAAGAAATTACCACCATTTCTAATGGTACGTACATACATTTAGGAATAGAAAATATGCTACTACCTTTACTAAACAGTTTAAGTGTTATAATTCCCAATAATATATTAAAAATAGGAATTAACATTGATGGCCTTCCTCTCGCTAAAAGTTCCAAGTCTCAATTCTATCCAATTTTAATCTCAATTTTGAATATTAAGCAACGACCTAATTTGGTAATTCCAATAGGTATTTTTCATGGAAATACTAAGCCTGGTAATGTTGAAGAGTTCTTTAATCCCTTTGTAACTGATCTTTTAATGTGCATAAATAATGGGATACAAGTAAATGACAATTTATATAGGTTAGAGGTTATACATGTAGCATGTGATGCTCCCGCTAAGGCATTTTTGTTAAATGTGAAACAATTTAATGCTTATTCAGGGTGTACTTCTTGCATTGAGGAAGGGACATATGTTAAGAATAGAGTGGTTTTTCTTGGTACGGATTCTCCATTGAGAACTGATGAGTCTTTTCGCTGTAAGTTAGATGAGGAATATCATAAAGGAGATAGCCCATTAGAATTACTGCCTATTAATATTATAGATACTGTGTGCTTAGACTATATGCACAATTGTTGTCAAGGTGTAATGAAGCGTCTTTTAGAACTGTGGGTTAAAGGTAAAAAAGATGTAAGACTGAGTGATCAAAGCATAAAAGAAATTAATAGTAGTATACAAAATTTAAGATCATATACTCCAAGTGAATTTTGTCGATTGCCTAGACCACTTAACGACCTTGAGTTTTATAAAGCCACTGAATTCAGACTATTTTTATTGTACTCTGGCCCCATTGCGTTAAAAGGAAAATTAAAAAAAAAAAATTATTTACACTTTATGTTGTTTTCTTTTGCTATTAGACTTTTAATCTGCAAAGAGACATGCATTGTTTATAACGAGCAGGCTTTAAAATTCCTTAAATTGTTTGTAAATAATTTTTCCATATTGTATGGGGAACATCTTGTGACATATAATGTCCATAGCTTAATACATTTGCCAAGGTATGTATTAATTCACGGACCATTAGATAATTTTAGCTGCTTTCGCTATGAAAATTACCTACAGGAATTAAAAAAATCGATAAAATGTGCAAAATACCCTTTGCAAGAGGCATTTAATAGAATAAAAGAAAAACAACAAGTTATCAGTAATACCCCATATCAAGATTTAGGTACTTATACAACCTTAAATGAAATTGGAAACAATTTGCAGTCAAAGTTTTTTGATATTAGAGCCAATCTTTTTAAAAAATTAATTTTGAATAAGATAAATATAACTTTAGATATTTCAAAAGAGAAAGATAAATATTTATTTCTAAAAAATAATAACTTAGTTGTAGTCCAAAAAATTGTTAAGATATTTAATGAAACTCCATTTCTAATTGCAAAACAGATTTTAGAATTTAAAGAATTTACTAATAAGCCAATGTCATCTGTTAATGTTGGAATGTATTTGTTAAATCCAAATAATACATCTGATGATATTAAAGTAGATATATGTGAAGTTAAACGAAAATGTTTTGTGATTAAAGTATCAGAATCTTCTTCTGTTGCCATCTTACTGTGTCATGAAGATGAATAGCCTATTCATCATCTAATAATATCTTCTAAAATCTTTAATGGACCGTAGAAGCTTAAAGAATGGAAAGATTTAAATTTTGCATGAAAATGCTTGGGAATCTTTTTAGTATAGTACCTACTATATTATAATATCTTAATATTTTTCTAAATTAAATTATGTTATTAAAATATAAAATATAAATTAAGCTAACCAGGAGTTGATTCAATTTCTTTTGATAAGTATTCACAAGTATCATTTGTCTCGCCATAATAAATATTAACTCCTACAGCAGCATTATTTTTTTCATTACCATTATCACATTCTAATAAGTAACATATTGGAAAATATAAAAATCATTATATCAGTAGGTAACCTATATTATTATATATTATTAGATTTACCTATTTGATTTTCATCGCCCCCGCAGTAGCTGTAGGATGGTCGAAATCATCATTTTCAACTATTTATTTAAGTATAATAATTTTAAAATTAATTAATGCTGAACAACGATTATCTAAAATTTTATTTAACTGATAATAATACTTACATGAACAAGATGACATTTCATATTCATTGAAAGCTAGCCATAGCCACTCCCGATCAATACGCCATATGCATATATATATATATATATATATATATATATTCATTGACATCATCAGATTTTTCTAAGTTGTTCATCTTTATGTTGTTTAGCTTTTCGTTTATCCGATCCAATCGGGTATTTTTTTGGTAAATTCGACATAAGAATAACTCGTGACAAATTAAAACATAGAATCGTAATTTTATCAATAGAAAACCAGATAAATGTTGTTGTATTTGCGTCATATTTAGCCAAAATATTGAATGCGTTTTGCGTATTATAAAAATAATAAGTGGTAAATTGTAGTTTTCATTAACCGTTTGAAACACAATAAAAAATATGATAACGGTTTTCCATGCGTTTTACTATCTTAATGACAGATTTATTTCTGATGATTCCGCCATCTACCGGATATTATACACAACATAATAAAATACTGTTGGTATGATGAGCAGTTAACAGGTACTAGGTGTACAATATTATATTATACTCAATAGTAGTAGGTAGTAATCAATTTATAAAATAATAATAATATAAATAATATATTATAATAATTTATATTATTAAGTTTATCTTAATTTGTGGATAAGAGCAAGATACTTGTTATTAAACTATTAAAAGTGGCATAAATTAAACACCGCCGTATGATAATGGGCTCCACTGAATACTACGGCCGGACACATTTTAGGGTGAGTCAGGCACACCCTTGTCCCCTCTTAGTTAAGTGCCTGTGAATAGGTTAGGTTTCTATGTATTATGTACCATTAGTAATTTTGGTAATTGTAGGTATTTATATGTTATTATGTATAATATTATATTTTTTGTTTAAATATTTGCTCATCTATTTATTATAATTATTACAATTATTTGTGTAATTGACATCGTATTTATAATTTTAATATTGTATAATATGTATCGATAAAAGTACTTATAAAAAAACTCCAAAAAATGTTAAATACAAAAAGTAGTTCATGTCATGGTTTATATATACAACAGTAAATAGTAATTTTCTTAAAATATTTCGTAAGTTTCTTTTTAAGTAAGGTACAATTTAGTTAGTAAGTAAATTTGATATAATTATTTTATTTTATACATGTACAAAACACGTACCATATTATAATATATATTTTAACCATTGTATTATGTATTATATGTATTTTAACAAATTATCATTTTTTTAAGACTATACAAAGTTGTTTTCTCTAATAAAATTATTATGTATACTAAAAAAATAAAGTTATATACCAAATAAAAAATGATGTTTCATATTATGTATTATTACCTATATACCTAATTATTTGCCTTAAAGTATAACAGTATCATTGTAAATATTATAAAAATTGCCTAATGTAATAAATAAACATTTTTTTAAAATTATATTTACATTTATTATATTTTACAATAGTAGAAAAAAAGTAATTAAAAGCAATGAGCATGAGAATAATAAGAAAAAAAAACATAATAAGTAATAATTTGGAATATTTAAAAAATGTTATCTGGTAACGTGGATGAAATATTATTGTTTAATATGTTTGGAACGTTTTCTGATAACTTGAATGCAATGTTATTTTGTAACATGCTTGGAACATTATCGGGTAACGTGAATTTAATGTCAGTATGTAACATTGTATTTATATTACAATTGGTGTTACTTTCTCGGGACATAAGCAGTTCCATACACATCGCAATTACGCGAATATCACATAAAGTTGTAACATTACATGTTCCAAAATAATGTTGTAGAAACATCGCTGAAATATTCCATTGCACAGTGGGTACCTATTAAATAATATTATCGACACGTCGTAAAACCGATAACTAGACATTAATACACTCCTTATCGTTATTTTTTTATATTATATAGAGAAGCGGTTCTTTACCAACTAATGGTCGGAACTTCGACAGCTAATACACGTCTGGTCAATATTATTCACGTATCTTATCAGTAGACAATGATTTCGCCGAAATTATTCGGTCTAATTATCGGTGACCGTAATATCAATAGGGATTAATGTTATTGTTTAATGACAAATATAAGTGTTACTGTTACTTTACAACAAGAATTTGAGGTCAAG